TGAAGATGGGCACAGAGCAAAAACATTGGGCTAAAGAAATCATTCAACGTACGAAAAAACGTGATAATATAACAAATACTCGTTTTGTACAAAAGAAAATTAATCGATTAACCGAAAGTATTGCTCAAGCTAGTGCTACCATCTCAGACTTGCAAATTCAATTAACTACATATTGGACACAAGTTAATGTGGAGAAATTAACTACAACAATAGCTGAAAATGTAGCAACTATTGTATGTGAAAAAATAAATAATAATAAAAAATCAACTACAACAACAGCTGCACCAGCAACAAGTCCTACAACAGCAGCACCAACTACAGCTACGACAACAAATACTCTTAAAAATCAAGTTCGTGAGCCTATAGAAAAATTAGAAAAATATATATTAAAATACGTTTATACATATACACAACATGTGAAGAAAATGGCCGAAACTAAAGTTCAATTAGCCAAAGCTCAATTAGATGAATTTAAAGCTTTAGAAGAATTTGAACAAATAGCTACTCCATCTCAATGGAATATTCATTTAGCTTTAAAACCTAGAATAAAACTTTGGTCGGCTAAGAATAAAAATTATTTGGCTGCTCTTAAACGTGTTGAATATGATATGCCTCCAAAATTTATTGAAAAAGTTGATTTATCATTTAAAATTGATGAATCTATTATTAATCAAGATGAAGCTCAAGCTACATATAATCAAATGCGTCAAATTACAAAAGAATTTCGCACACAAGCAATGACATTATATGTACAATCGTTAGGTAGAGAAAATGAATTATTATCAAATGAAATTAAACATATTATTGAAGGCTTTCCTCAAGAAAATGATGAGGGATTTGATGCTGAACCTGGACATGCAGCATTTAAACATTATCATAATTTACGAGAAAAAAGATTAAATTTAGAAGCTGAACAATCGATTCATTTTTTATCCGAAGATCGAGTCGAGGGCGATACAAACAATCCGGTAGAAGTCGTTGCCCCGACTCTAATTCGATCGCTGGGCGAGGAATTCTTGCTCCAGCTATAATTAACCAAGCACAAATCCAATTAACCGAGGAAGAACATGAATTACTAAAATTAGGCCCTCGGTTTATTAACAATGATCCAAAAACGGCATCTCGAAGACGTACAACTGAGTTGGCTACTCTTAAACGAAAAATTGAAGCTCGTTTCTTTGAAAAGAAAGTTAGCCCCGGTCGCCCAGTCGAGCAATTTATTGCCGAATTAGATGTTCTGCTTCAAAAATTACATAATACCCCTGGAAATCGTCGAAAATTAAGAAATATATTAAATCAAAATAACATTTATGATAATTTAGTTTCTGCTATAGAATCAAGTCAGTCTCAATATATTAATTCTAGAATTATTATTAAAAAGAAGAAAAATTATGGACGATTAATTAAACGTTTAAAATATAAGCTTCATTTGAAAAATATTGTTCTTCAAAAATCTGATAAAAACAAAGTATTCCACTTAGGTAAACTCGACGATTATCATAAAAAATCAGAAGAATATATGGAGAAAACAAAGGCCTACAAATGCTTAGGTATTGAAGATCCATTACCTGATCTGATTCGTCGTACTAATAAATATTTATTAGATTTACGACTAGCCAAGTGGATTACTCAAAAACAATATGAAAAATTATGTATTAATCCAAATGAAGTTGAACTTGCTCATTTGTATTATTTACCTAAGGCACATAAGCCTGGTACTCCTCTTCGTCCGATTATATCGGGTCTGAAACATCCAGCAATTAAAATATCAAAATTTCTTGATGAATTACTTAGGCCTCTATTTGATAAAATGGCTTTAAAGACAACTGTAGCCTCTGGTTTTGAATTAGTTAAACAGTTGCAAAAATGGTCAAATATCAATATGCGTCAAGAAACTTTATTTTGTACAGTCGATGTAGCAGACCTTTATACAATGGTACCTTAAACTGAAGGAGTACTCTCCTTAAAGAAAATGTTAGACCACTTAAAATTAAAACAAGTTGGTGGTCTAAAAATTGAAACTATAATTAGATTAAGTCGATTTGTTATGAAAAATAATTATTTTTCTAATAATAGCCAATTCTATCATCAAGTTCGTGGAGGAGCAATGGGTTCTCCTCTTACTCTAACTGTAGCTAATTGTTATATGTTCTTTTATGAAAAGCAGATAGTTAAACAAATTAGCAATAGTGGTGGATTATATTTTCGATATATTGATGATATATTTTTAACAATAAATTGGCCTGCTCGACATTTATTTAATCAAATCGACAGATGGAATCATTTTGATGAAAATATTAAATTATCAGAAAAGATTGGTTCAGCTGCTGATTTTCTTGATTTACATATGGAAAATCGTGATGGTGTATTATTTACTACTGTTTATCAAAAGCCGTCTTATGAACCGTATTACTTGCCATTTAATAGTATTCATCCGTTACATATGAAAAAGAATATACCTTTTACGATGTTACTTCGAGTAATTAGGTATTGCTCTACATTTCAAACATATTTGGATGAACGTGAAAAATTACGTATGGCCTTATTACTTAATAAATATCCGAATAAAATAATTGAAGAACAGTTTAATAATGTTCTTTTGAAATATAATATCGATCAGCCATTAACAAATTTTAATTATTACAAATATCGTCAAGAAGTTATGAATTCACCCATAAAAGAAAAAGCTATGATTGATTATGAAGCAGTTATGTTTATACATTTTACATGTTGTTCTACCATGAAAACTTTTCCTGCTAAATTTCATTTACTTTGGAATAAGTACTTTCAGGAATCCCCGATTAACGAAATTAGACCTGTTCTTGGTACTCGAAATGTGAAGAATATACAAAGACGTTTAGCCTTTAATATGATATGAATTGTTATAAATTATGTATCTGTTTAATTATTATAACATTAACTGTTGACCATTATTATTTAAAAGACTTTGAATTAAGTGTTATATAATTTATTGATAATGGTGTAATTTTGTATGACTAATAATATATATTCTAATGTGGTTCAGTCATATTAATGGATTTTATACTGAACTTACAACAAGAAATTATATATTTCACCAAATAGAATTTATTGAAAGAATTGAACCACTGATAATTTAGTGGTTCAGTCAACATTCGACGTCTAAAATTATTCGAAAACTAAATAACAATTGCAAATGGAAGATAATCACATTGAATAATATCTTCAGTTTATGGCGTCAATGGACACGTATGGTTGAACGATGTTATCCCTATTTACCATTGTTTCAGTAATTTTATTTCATCAATATTTAAACTTAAAGAAAAACGACAAGAATTAGCCAATAAACTTTTAGTAATATTTAATATTCATATTTAAAGAAATTATCAAATATTCGATGTTAAAAATGATCTGTTAATTAAACGACGAGTTATTTAATATATTAAAAATTTGTTTGGTTAATGGGTATGGTATATGATACACATAGTTATATGTAATACAAGTTTATTTTAAATTCGTATCATGTGACCTATGCTTTACCACCCATGTCACACTTGAAAATTTTAAATTGCATAATATCTCTATTATTCATATCTTCATGAACAAATAAGAGATATTATGCTTTTGGTATATTCTTATCTTCAAAGACAAATAAGTGATATTATGTTTTTGTGGTTATCAATCAATTTCATCAAGCAAAATTTATTGATCAATCAATTATCTATTTAACTTATTGATCATTAATCATTAATGAAAAAAGATGATGAAAAAAACCATTTTTTGAATCACTTTTTGAATGATACCATTTGAAGATAAACATTCTGATGTTAAATCTTATTTTATTTGATCAGCATTTAAACTTAAAGAAAAACATTCTTCTTAACTATTAGATAAGATCAGCGTAGTATGAAGTGGTTGTCCAACAGCTACTGCTGGTCATTGTACAACTCGACGAATAATACGCACTGCTTTTCTGATTTACTCGAATACCGTTTTGATACTTTTTAAATGTGTTATGCAGCCGTGACTTTATGTCTTATGTCTGTAAATATCAGTATAACAAAACTTATATATGTTTGTGAATTTATTATTTATTACTAACTGATATTAATGGACTTTATATAGAACTTGCAATAAGAAACTTATAGCTCAATGGACACGTATGGTCGAACGATGTTATCCTTATTTACCATTAGTTTTGGTAACTTCATTCCATCAACATTTAAACTTAAAGAAAAACGACAAGAATTAGCTAATAAACTTTTAGCAATATTTAATCAAGATGTTTTTCTTCTCAACTACCAGATAAAATCAGTGTAATATGGTAGACAAATAAGTGATATTATCATACCTTCAGAGATAAATAAGTGATATTGTCCATATCTTTAAAGACAAATAAGTGACATTATCCAGGTGATGATAATTTTAATCTCATCAAGCAAAATTTATTGATCAATCAGTTATTCTCCAAATTGAATGATATTTTCATGGATAAATAAACGATATTAGTATACTTGATAATATCATGTCTTTTAGTTTTATTGTTTGATTAACTTTTGTTTTGATTTTATTCTGTCTTTTAATTTTTATCCTTTATTGTGCTCTTTAATTTTCATTTTTTTCTGATTTTGTTGTGCCTCTTAAATTTTAATTTTTATCTTTAAAATTAGTTTTGATTTTTGCTTTTAATATAATGTAATGCAGAGCCCTGATGAGTGTTTCATTATTTCAATAAAATAAACATGAAACGCGTCGGCGAAAATAATCTGCATTTCTTTTAAATTAATTTTCATTCAAGCATATTTATATTCATTCAATTCAAATTTAATTTGTCGACAGAAAATCGATTGCTGAAAAAGCAAGAGTTGAGAATAGCAGATTGATTTGTATTATTATTGAAATATAAGTCGATCTGTTTTCCAATTGATTTACGTACACCCACACCCACACCCTCAAGCTACATATAATCAAATGAAACAAATTACTAAAGATTTTCGTATACAAGCAATGATATTATATGTTCAGTCATTAGCTCGAGAAAATGAATTATCGACAGATGAAATTAAACGTATTATTACAGGCTTCCCTCAAGATAATGATGAAGGTTTTGATGCTGAACCTGGTTATGCAGCATTTAAACATTATCATGATTTACGTGAGAAACGATTAAAATTAGAAGCTGAACAATCGACTTATTTTTTAGTCCAAGAGAGAGTCGAGGGCGAAACAAACGAAGTTATTACCCCGACTCTGGTTCGATCGCTGGGCAAGGACTTCTTGCTCCAGCCATAATTAATGAAGCACAAATTCAATTAACCGAGGATGAATATGAATTACTAAAATTAGGTCCTCGGTTTATTTATAATAATCCAAAAACGGCATCTCGACGGCGAACAATTGAATTGGCTTCTCTTAAACGAAAAATTGAAGCTCGTTTCTTTGAAAAGAAAGTTAGCCCCGGTCGTTCAGTCGAACAATTTATTGCCGAATTGGATTTAGTGCTTCAAAAATTACATAACGCATCAATAACAAATCAGCAGCATATAAGAAAAGATTTAATTAATACTTCAATACAAAATTTATCAAATACTATACAATTAAGTCAACGTCAGAGTGGAAGCTCTAGATTTAATATTAAAAAGAAAGAGAAAAATTGTGGTCGATTAGTAAAAAGATTAAAGTATAAATTAAAATTAACTAATATAATAATACGAAAATCAGACAAGTCCAAAGTATTCCATTTAGGTAAATTAGAAGATTATCACAAAAAATCTGAAGAATATATGGAGAAAACAGAAGCCTATAAATGTTTGGGTACAATTGATCCATTACCTGATCTGATTCGTCGTACTAATAAATATTTATTAGATTTAAGATTAGCCAAGTGGATTACTCAAAAACAATATGAAAAATTATGTATTAATCCAAATGAAGTTGAACTTGCTCATTTGTATTATTTACCTAAGGCACATAAGCCTGGTACTCCTCTTCGTCCAATTATATCGGGTCTGAAACATCCAACAATTAAAATATCAAAATTTCTTGATGAATTACTTCGACCTTTATTTGATAGAATGGCTTTAAAGTCAACTGTAACTTCTGGTTTCGAACTATTGAAACGGTTACAAGAATGGTCGAAAGATAATATGCGTCAAGAAACTTTATTATGTACAATTGATATAACAGATCTTTATACAATGGTGCCACAGACAGAAGGAGTACTGTCATTAAAGAAAATGTTAGATCATCTTAAATTAAAACAAATTGGTGGTCTTAAAATTGAAACCATTATAAGATTAAGTCGATTTGTTATGAAAAATAATTATTTTTCTTATAATGGCCAATTCTATCATCAAGTTCGTGGAGGAGCTATGGGTTCTCCTCTTACACTAACAGTTGCTAATTGTTATATGTTCTTTTATGAACAACAAATTATAAAACAAATTAACAATAGTGGCGGTTTATATTTTCGATATATTGATGATATATTTTTAACAATAAATTGGCCTGCTCGATATTTATTTAAACAAATCGACAGATGGAACCATTTTGATGAAAATATTAAATTATCAGAAAAGATTGGTTCAACTGCTGATTTTCTTGATTTACATATGGAAAATCAAGATGGTCAATTATTTACAACAGTTTATCAAAAGCCATCTTATGAACCTTATTATTTGCCCTTCAATAGTGTACATCCATTGCATATGAAGAAGAATATAATTTTTACTATGTTTCTTCGTATCATTAGGTATTGTTCAACTTTTCAAGCTTTTTTAGATGAACGTGAAAAGTTATGAATGGCACTATTATTAAATAAGTATCCAAATAAAATTATTGATCAACAATTTAATCAGATATTATTAAAATTTAATATTGATCAATCTTTAAATTCTAATAATTATAATTTGAATCATCAAAAAATTATACAAATGCCTATAAAAGAAAGAATATCAGTAGATTATGGTAAGACAATGTTTGTTCATTTTACTTACTGTTCAAATATAAAAACATTTCCAAAGAAATTCCATAATCTTTGGAATAAATATTTCAGTGAATCACCTATTAATGAAGTCTTACCTATCCTTGGTACTCGTAATGTTAAAAATTTACAAAGACAATTAATTTCTACTAGATAAATTGTAATTTTTAATACTGTATATTTGATTTGACCTTATGGCAAATTTAAAAAATATAAATACAAATATCAATCGATTAAATTATAAATTATTATCAAATAATTATTTTATAAAAATTTGGCCATATAAAGGTCATCTATATATATAAATTCGATTATTTTACAAGTAATTCATATTATTTGAGAACAAAAATTTCATTTGAACATATGCGTTTTATTAAATTCTATCAAGTAATTAAAGTTTAATATGGTATAAGATTTTTACGTTATAAAGAATTTAAATAACAATGCACATTGAGATAGACGAAAATGAATCTTTCAACAGATAATTATTTTATCACAATAGATAAACAGCCATTCGGATTTTAATAAAAAATTCTTTAATTCCATCAACAATATGGCTCATTTGTGGTGATAGATTCAACCAAAATGGTTTTGTTCAACAACGTCAATTTTTACTTAAATTAATTACATTTTTGTATTGCTTCAACATAATTAACATTATCAACCAAAATGGTTTTGTTCAACAATGTCAATTATTACTTAAATTATTACATTATTGTATTTCTTCAACACAATTAACAGTAACACAACAACAAGAAGCACGTCGTGCATAGGGTTATTCTAAATATTAAAAACTTAGAAATTCTATTTAATACAAATCAACATCGATATGGATAAATTTGATTATATGGTACGTAATCCATATTATTAACAAAATAATTCCTTATCTATGATCTTGATATGATTATTAATCGTTATATATTACTATCTATGGTCGTATTGGCAATTGCCTTCAAATATTATCAACCAACATTAGTAGACTTCAAAAACTTATTGATCAATCAATTATCCATTCACAAAGCCCCTATTTTAAAACATTTTTTTAAAAACCATGTTTTTTACTTCAATTTTGTTTCTAGCTTTTCTTGCATTTTTTTCAATTTTTCATTAATTTGTAAATTTTCACTTATTTTGCTTATAATTATAATGCAGAGCCCTGAAGAGTGTTTCATTATTAAAATAAATAACACGAAACGCGTCGGTAAAATTAACTCTGCATTAATTTTTTAAACAAATTCTAATTCAAGCAAATTTATTTAGTATTTTTATATTTGACATAGAAAATCGGTTGCTGAAAAGCAGAAGTTGAGAGTAGCAGATTGATTTGTATTTTAAGAAATATAGGTCGGTCTGTTTTCCAATTGATTTATTTACCCACACCCACACCCACACCCACCCACA